ACAGCAGAGGTTTTAATGAATATTGTAGCAGCAATGACTGTAATGGTGTCTCTTCACAAAAAAGGAAAAGGTAAAATGAAATAAATAATTCACAAATACTTATGATACAATTTATTTAATAGGACATCAAGAAATAACATGATAAAACCTGATGATATAGTTATTACAGAGATAACTGAAACAAATAATGGACTAAAAGTGACGTTTTATGTCAAAGGACAATCTGGAACTCCTGTTGATGCCAATGCAGTTGTAGCAGCTATAAAGGCAAGCTACAATGTATTTTTTAATTCTGTATATGAAGGACAATTATATTAGTAGTGTAGTTCACTGAAGTTTAAGCAATATTTATTATTTTTACAGTGCTACTGTTTAGTAGCCAAAGCTACAGCCTTCATGTGGCTAAACTTATTTTATTATTATATTTATTATAGGAAGCTGATCCAAGATATGTCAATGCTGGGTTCACAATTGCTAGTCTTACATTACTAAATCCACCATCAACTACTGTTGTAGTGACACCTTCTGCTTCAGCAACTCCTACAGATGATGGACTATCTGCTGGACAAATAGCAGGAATAACAATTGGTATTTTAATTGGAGTCTTACTCGTGATAATAATAATTATCAGTGTGGCCTGTCTTATACGGTAAGTTGACCTCAGTCAATGTATATATAAAGATTATGTTCAATAGCTATAAGAAGAGGTCCAATAAAATTATTAAGAAAGAAAATAATGATAACTTTACTGTTGAGAATCTATGTTATGAAGCTGTTCCACCTACCCCTGCAGGTAGATTATTCTAATATGTACCTTTAAACTTTTGACTGAAATGATAATAATAATAGGTTCGGTTCACAGTATCAAATTAAAATTTGCTCAAGAGTTTGACAGTAGTGATGAAGATGAAAGTGAAAGGGAAAATGATCTCAATGGCATCATTATGAATGAAAAAGAATGTCAAGGTGGTCAAGTTGAAAGTTTTGGTGTTATGCTTGAAGAATCTAAAGAAACTTTCCTCTAAATATAATTTTCTTGTGTTGAATTATTGCTGTTAAGTAGATATTGTCTCTCCTTTTTTGCAATTTTAGTTAGCATTTTTAGTTTTGTCTTAGCTATTACTAGTTATTAATACTAGTTATTAATAATAGTTTTACTAACAAGTTAATACGTCACGTGATAGCATGCTTCAATCATAGATATGCTTCAATAAAGTCTTTGCTCTGGTTTTCCGATTGTTTTTCTTGATTCAGTAGCGAGACTATGGAACAGTGCACTAATGGATCAATCCGCTTGGTAAGTACGTCCAAGGCCTGATGCTGTTACTGCTGTAACATGGATCTAGACAGTTCTGTATCTTCAGCATTATCAAGTTACTTTTTAGATCTACAATCTACCTGTAACCACATGAAATTTTATTTGTATTATGTTCTGGGTGAATGAGTATAAATAGAGTACTAGACATATTTTGGGATCAATTGTTACCTAGACTATAAACATGTATCATGTCTTTAACTGTTTGTACATGTACATGTGCCAGTGTAATGTCAATTTGTAATTCCTGAGCAACATGTACATGTATTACCTTTTCATCATAAGCATTAAAAATAGCATTAATTGTTTCTGGTTTTTTTATTACAAATTACATGTATATGCTTTAAACAGTTTTGATCAATGAGCTTTGAGCATCTAAAAGCGTTACAATTATGCTATAAAAACATGTATTTTTTCAATTACCATAGCTCCATGTGTCAATGGTACAGTTCGCCTCTATAGTATAGCGAATCAAGCAGTTACTTCTGGAGATATGGACAAGTTCAAGTGTGTGCTAATGATAATTGGGGAATACCGTATAGCGGAA